TCGATATCATCAAATCTTGATTCTTTGCAAACCTCGAGTTGTATAGTTGTGTGTTTTACTTCATCCTTAAACAAACCTGTGTATATAATGCAATCTCATATATACATAATTGTAAGTGTATCATAAATAACACACACATCTCAAATTACATTTCATGTTTCCTTGGTCTTGATACATGTTAATATAAGTTCATGTAGCCTACTGTCTAATCAACTGTCTGGAAACATCGATATGGCATAACTGTGTTTTATATGAAGGTCATGTCCCTCGTAAAAACGTTATTACACACAGGGCAACCTTGATATGAAATGTGAACCTCGGTTATTATGAATAAATGTATGGGCAAAAATAGCTTACCGCTACCGTTGTGAACGGATAAGAATATATTCATGCAGCACCACTGCAGGAAACTGTCCTTGAGCCTCTAAACACGTTATTGCATGGATAGAAAGCATGTGCGTGTGAATGCTATCACGCATCCATTTGTAGGGCAGTAGATCAGCTGTTCAGCTGATCTTGATATTAATTACCTAAGAATAGAAAGATAAACTCTCTTAAGTCAAATATCTAAGTCTTGTAGACATTTTGCAGTTTCAATTGGTTTACTTCAAGGAGTTATTTCACACTGACATAACTACATGTATGTTGAAATGGAAAGAAAAACCAAGTCAAGGGACGTCAAGTAGTCAATGTTGAAATGAACGTTAGGGAGCAGCAACAATTAGTAAAACAATTCAGTTATCAGTAGGTGGTGCGTGTATCTCCCACGATTTGCAACTACCTCATGGTAATTGTTGTTCCAAAATGCCACTCACGACGGCATTCACGTACAGTTTCTATTGGTTAACTCGGTCTAGTGATTCCGACGATCCCATGCCACACACTGATCAGGTGGAGCTGTGGATTAGGTTATTCAAGAGGTCCCTTGATGATGCACACGGTGATACTGATGGAATAATATAGTTGTTAGTGAGTGAGTTGGGTTTAACGCCGCTTTTAACAGTATTCCAGTTATATCGCAGCGTTTCAGATTAATGTGGGGCGAAAGCCCGAAGTGATGCAGGTCCCAGACGTTTCCCACTTCGGTGAAACCCACGAGCACGGTTATGGTGCTGACAAACCTACAAATATAATCGGGGCGAACCGGGATTCGAACCCACAATCATAGGTTTCTGGCGTGCCCAAGGGACGCAGCTCTACACAGCGAATCGCGGCGCCTTAGACGACTGGGCCACCCGTGTCCCCCTAAGAATATAGTAGCAGGAAAGACGTGATGACATGGAATCCCCATATTTTCTATGACATCAGACTGTATCACGTCACTGTGCCTGTAACAACGTTCACCATAGCATTACCGAACCGCCACCCGCTCTACTTTTGGAAGTACACAGTTAGAGTTAATCTGACAGTACATTAATAAAACGGAGGTCAGCGACACACAAAATTATATATAAAGTAAGCGATGCTGTATATGTCGCGGGATCAATTGTGGTCATTTGCTTGGTCTGCCTTTTCTTAAACTATGCGAAAACAGTCTCACATTTCCAACCTCCCCTCTGGTCCTATTCATGCCGACTGTTTGCTGTCAATGCAGTCGGAATTGGTTTGTTGAACGGAAAAGTTGTCGACGTGTTATTTTCAACAGAATCTGATGATGGTTCTCTCGAGGGTCTACCATTGATCCGGGACATTGTCTAACCTTAATTCCCGTTTGTCTATGCTTCTTCAACAATCTGTTAACATAGATCCTGTAATGAAGGGTAGTAATTTATCGTCGAGACAGCCTCCGTCACTCATGTGATTTGCCATCTGCTTCCCATTTCAACCATGAAAATTGAAACACGTGAAAACTTAGCAGTAGTATGGAGAGTTACAGTCAAGGTCAGATGAACATAAACAGGCGCTTGACATTGATGCCTTATCGCGCCGTCTAGACATTGCGGAAGAACGTGCCAATTCTGCTACCAAGGATACAGGTCTGTCAACAAAATTACATAATATATGCACAACAAATTGACCGACGTGAACAGGACAGTAGAAAACAAAATGCTTTCTGTAACGTTTCCGATCAAGCATTGAAAAAATAATCTTTACAGTCAAATGTATGTGACACCTTGCATCTGTAGATAGCGACTCGCTCATTTTTTACGTCACTGAAATTGTGAATGTGCATCGTATCAAAATGTCCAGGTCAAAGCGATCTCGCCTACTCATGGTTCGTTTCACAAATCTAGATTGTCACATGCAGGCTATTTCATTACCATCTGAACTCTAAGATTCTGGAATAGGGATTTTATATGTTCTCTCAAAACGCCAGAGACAGACTCTTCAACAATTAAAACAACAAATAAAAGAGGTTATTATCAAACCGGTGAGTTAATAATCTCAAGCTGAACACGCCACAAGACTGAATCTGTTGTGCCAGCAGATCTTCCAACGCAGACCACCCGCGAGTGCGGTAGATATCCTTTGTACATTTCAGCAAATAAGTGTTGTATTACTTATTGGTGTAAGGTCATATATACACATGCACAAAGGTTAAGCGCCACCCACCATATTTGTGAGCTGTTACTTTTGGCACTTAATGATGACTATTATAACGAGATGTACGATTGTTATAAGCCGTATAGGTAAACCTCATGTGATGCAAAAGTTGTCCCAAAGCAAGTTTATCTTGTGTTCCAAAACAATATGAGCAGAAATGAATTTAACCGAAGACCAGAAATTGAAGAACTTTTTTTGTCATGTAACTGTCATGATATCAGCAGACCATATCAGGTGTCACATATACACCCTAGGGAGTCTATTGCAAGACAGAAACGTCAGTAACGTGTGTATGATCCACGGACATAGACCACAGCTTCAACCCTACATCTCATACTCATTACAAGTCGTTGAATACTTCTCTGAGGCAAACGGATCCATTCTTCATGAAGTCCAGCGAGATTTGAACTGGGGGATCACGATGTCTGATTTTCCGGCCAAGAATGTCCCAGAGATGCTCAATGGGATTAAGATCCGGACTACAGGCCGGCCAAGGAAGAGTGGCAATAGCTTCTTGACGCAAATAAGCCAAAACTGCCCGAGATCTGTGTGGTCTAGCATTGTCGTCCATGTAAACAGGTCTTGTCTGAAGAGGATGGTTGTCAAAATGAGGGACTACCACTGGACGAAGAACGGCATCTTGGTATTGTTGGCCATTCAGGTTTCCACGAATTGTCACCAGCGGAAGTTTGCAGCCGGAGGAAACACAACCCCATATCATGACAGACCCACCCGCCACATGCTAAGGTGTTCTGGATGTTCCTTTGTGCAAAACGAGTGTTACGTTGCCTCCAAACACGTATTCGACCAACAACAGTTCGTAGCAGCATTCGACACTCGTCAGACTAATGGATCCTTCTCCAGTAGGCCAAGTTCCATCGACTACGGGCACGGCACCATATCAGACGATTCCGCTTGTGCCTCTCAGTCAGTTGAGGACGTTTTACTGGTCTTCTGGCGTTATTACCAGCCGCTCTGAGGCGACCCCTTACGGTCATCGACGAGAGTCTCTGATGGGTAATCCACTGCAGTCTTAAATCTGTTGAAGTGGCAAATGGATTTCGTCTGACTATCCTGAAAAGACGTCTATATATATCCTCTCTGGTCTTTCTTGGCCTGCCAGACCTACATGTATGCCTGTCATTGACATCATTGGTTTGACCATGTTTGACAATCAAACGAGTGATAACACTGTGATGACGACCCATTTGTCTTGCAATGGCCCTGCATGACATGCCAGCATTTTTCATGCCATCACTTGCCACTTTTCAGCGTTCGTTAACTTTCTCCTCACCATGGCTGATTTTCAACCTCTATTGGAAGGGGAATCTCATACAGGATCAAAATGCAACCACGTGTCTGAAACTTGAATTTCACTATTTATAGGTTAGGGGAACTGCAGCAACACGTAAAGCACGCTTTCCTTGTGGTATCTGGACAAATTTGGGTTCATGAAACTATGGAAGCCTAATTCAGTCATACATCATCATATTTCGTATCTCTGATTCCCACACGTGAAATCAAGAGACTATGAATATGGTGGCGCTTAACTTTTGTATATGCCTAATAGTCGTTACCCGAGAAATAATCTGTTGTTGTAAATGCCAAGATTAATTGCGTATGCAAAGTTAAACATACCTTGTATAAATTTCGGCTATATATGAAAACCAATCAGTTTCTTATCCAAAACAATTTGTATCTGAATTTGTATCACGATAAAAATATATTCATGAACAAGAATGACTTTCAGATATTCTTAATAGTCTGAAAATGCGTACCTATTCGCCGTGGGGACCCGGGGAGGATAAACAAGAATGTGTCCTCAGCACCCAATGGCTGGTCGTAAAAAGCGACCGAATTGAGCAGCCTGTTTGCGTGGGCTGCGACCCTGTGTCGGCAGAGGAAGGGAGGCTGCTGGTTGAGGGCGACGTAGCCGGCAATGGTGCTCCTTAGTCCAACACACCACCTCGGCCCTAATTTTGCCTAGACGGGCGGTAAAATGGGCCCGATTCTATCAGTCGGCTGGTCATGGCATGCCCTGTGCATACACTATTTAGCCCAATCTTTTGGTTTTCAAAAAATAAATTTATTCAAGATGTCTTAAATATATGACATTGTATACATTTATAAACTTTCTTGGAGCCCTATGCCCAGAAGGCAGTGGCTCATGGGCCAATCTGTTGATGCTGACCTCCGAATTCTGTCTATAATTAATTGTTATGGCTCAACCTGACCCTTTATTTGGTAGATAGTTATAGCTTTTCGCGTCATATTTGCTGGAGTATACCACCCCTTTTTCCTCGGTCTTTGTAGTTTCGAAAACCGCTGCAGTATAAGACTGTCCTTGTTGACACTCCATGGTGGGTGGGGGAAGGGTGCAGAATTAATTTCCTTTCGACATGTCTTCCTAACATCCGGGTTCAAAAAGACGACATATAGAGACTGACGAAAATACTATGCCCACTCGATCCGAGTATTGGCTACGCCAAAGGTATCATCGGTATCTGCGGAGAGGTTATGGGGTTAAAAATTTCACAAAGCTTCGTTCTGGCTCTCTCCTTGTAGAATGTGCACGGAGACAACAATCTGCAAATCTTCTCAAATTAAATGAGTTTGTCAATATCAAGGTTGTTGTGTCAGTGCACAAGTCACTGAACTCGTGTAAGGGCATTGTCCGTGACAGAGCTCGCTGCCTGTCCGGCATGCTCGAAGACGATATAGCCAAGGAACTTGAACAGTCGGTCACAGCTGTCAAACGATTTACTTTCAAGAAGGATGGTGTGGTCCAACCGCCCAACACCTACCTCTTCACTTTTGCACGAACGTCTATCCCTCAATCTATCAAAGCTGGTCACTGTAACATCGGAGTGGAGGTGTATATCCCCAATTTACTCCGGTGCTACATCTGCCAAGTGTTTGGACATGGATCCAAGTCCTTCCATGCCTCTGCTGGTTGTTACCGCTGCGGTGACAAGCACGAGGCCACTGACTGCAGGAAGCTTAAGGATGTGAAGTGTTCAAACTGCGGTGGGAATTAAATGGCTTCTTCAAAATCCTGCCCTGTGTAGAAAAGCGAGTCCCAAATGATGAGAGTCAAGACCGAACACAATGTCTCGTACCACGAGCGATCCCAGTAGAAGTCCATAACTCCTTTGGTCATCTGGTCATGGAGGTAACTCCATCTCCACACGAAGCAAATAGGAGTACTACAAAGTCTTCCTCGCGTTCGCGTAACATTTCACCTCTGGAGGCAGCACCACGAATCAACATTGGACCAAAAACCTACTCAGTGACATCCAGTGTGGTTTCCGAAAAACACTGACCATTTGTTAAGAAGCATTTATTAAAGGTTCCATTGTCAACAAACAGCATACTGTATCAATCTTTTTCGATCTAGAGCAGGCATATGATACAAAGTGGAAACATGGTATTTTAAAAGATTTGCATGAATTTTGATTGAGGGACAGAATACAATGTACCTCAGTTCATATCTAAATTTTTAAACAACAGACAATTTCAAGTACCTGTGAGCTGTACCCTGTCTGATCATTTCGATCAAGATCAGGGCGTCCCTCAAGGCAGCATGAGATAAGGATAAGTTTTATTCCATACTGAAAGGCCTCGTGTCCATAGTACAATTCTGTTTCGGGAGTGGTTACAGATCCGTTTAACAGGCATCTTCCCGAGGCAAGAGAGTTAACTGACTATAAAAGTTCAGTTTCCACCCTTGCTCAACTAGGCTGGTATTATGGAGTTACATTTTGGCTGGACTAACGAGTCTATTCATAGTCCGGGCGGTCGGGTAGCCTAATGGTTAAAGCGTTCGCTCGTCACGCCGAAGACCCGGGTTCCATTCCCGACATGGGTACAATGTGTGAAGCCCATTTCTGGTGTCCCCCGCCGTGATATTGCTGGAATATTGCTAAAGGCGGCGTAAAACCGTACTCACTCACTCACTCACTATTCATAGTCCAATCACAATCGCGCAACGAAATCGAAATCCGTTTCGTAAACTGCCGTGCAGATTTCGGTCGATTGCAAGATTTGGAAAGCATGTGCACCGTTGTCAGCAGATATTTTCCAAATCTTTTCATGTTTTTAATGTTTTTAATCAAGGTGCTCACGTGATTTGATGGACTTCGCGATGTAAGACCCGTTTTATTACAATATAGATCTTGATTATCGATCAGGTCGTCTTGACTGGGCGCATCCATTTTGTTTGAAGCAAATGCAAGTGATTCGAGAGGTGGAATCTGATTGGTCCATAGGAGAGGCTTAGAAGGGACATAACTGGTAATAGCCACTGGTTGCGCCACGATCGAGCCCAGGAATTCCAGCCTAGTTCGGCAAGGGTGGAAACTGGACTTTTAAAGTCGGTTAACTCTCTTGCTCGGGAATATGTTTAACAGGTCATCTTCTAATTAACATAGCATTATAAATGAACATTGATAGATGTTTTAGAGTATCTTTATCAGTTGTTGACATGATCGATATAAATTTTGTTGAGTGGGTTGTACATAAAAAGGCAGATCAATATATTTTCTTCTTAGGTGGTCGTATTTTGGACAAACTAACAGAAAATGAAACTCATCTTCAATCACATTTAAACCACATTGCTCACATATTCTAAATTCTCTGGTTTCTATGTCTGCCTACTTCGATCATAATTCTATGAGAGCTGCATCTAAATTGTGCTAAAGTTATTCTAAACCTTTTAAAATTGATATAAAACAAATAGTATTCTGGGGAAATAGTTGTCTTAAAAAGCTTGTAATAATTGCATTTTTCTGAACTTTATTATTATCCTTGACATATTAGAACTCTGTAATGATCTTTCTACTGGCCAATGTGTCATCGTCTTTTGCTGGTTACGAAGTCATGTAGGCACAACAGGTAACTCAAAAGCCGATGTTGCAGCTAAAGCAGCTCTTGACAAACCATTTTCTCCACTACTGATCACGTACAATGATTTCGAACCAACAATCAAGATTTATACATATGAGGGATAACATGCAAAAGAGGTGGGGCACCCAAGTAAGAAGCAATGAACTTCACGAATATAAAACCAACAATCGGTCATACCTACTTGGGTTGTTAGTCAGGACATGACGAGGTCGTTTTACGACGAAGTCGTTTTTGCCACAGTCGGTTTACCCACGAATATCTGCTTAAAACAGATGAGGACGAACCTCCTAAGTGTATCCCTTGTGATGAAAGTATTTACCGTCAAGCATACGTACAGTCTTTAAAAAAAAGAAACGCACAGGTAGATTTTTAGTAAAATTGTTGTACCTACTAAAGTCGATATATTTAATCATTATGTAATATCATAGAATTTAATTTAACTTCATACAAATATGAAATTTTGGAGCTCGATAGTCATATGTTGTTGTTGCACAAAGGCATTGAAAACTGTTCTTTGTCATGTCATATGAGGCCACAAGGTTGTGCTGAACCTTGTTTCTTTTAAATTTCTGTGTTGAACCATTTCTTCTTAATATCAAAATTGATAAATGTCGTACTGCAATCCCAGTGACAAAAGATTTTGTAAACTCTGTAACATTAGCGTTATAGAAAACGAATACCCTGTTCTGTTAATTTGTAAATAAAAGCGACAAAATCCTTTCCATATTCAATAGAAATCTGTGCTAAAAGCATAGTCGATTGTACGAGTCCGATCACATCATGAGTATGTGTTTATAAATCACAATCAAACAGACATTGGTGTATTGTTCTGTAGTTTCACTTCATTTGCACAGTATTTTCACAAGAGATACGAAAACAGCACTGTACGCTCATTTGAGTCATGTACTTGATCGTGTCGTTAGTCATAAATTTGCAAGTGAAGATTAGAAGATGATCAGTTAGATGACAATGCTCAATATTTTTCTTAAACATTTCAAAGCTTTATTGTAATTTCAATTGCAAAGGGAAAACATTGTGGAAACGCTTGAAGCTCATGAATAGCAAATTTGAATAAAACATTCTACATGTAACATAGTGTGTATCATGTACGTAATAGGACCAAAGACCCCTGGCGTAACGAGCCACAGCTTTAACCTGATACTCCATCTCCCTGTGATGAAGAGAACATAGTGTGAATGATGGAGACTTTGGATTTTCGTGAGAGACCTATGCTTTCGATATGTGCTTTTCTTCATCTCTTCCTATGAGAAGTGCAGATTATAACTTTGTACATATAATACACTAAATTTCCGAACTATTGCCAAGGGCTCACATAAAACAATTTTGATTCCTAATATATGACTTTTAGGGCTAGGATACCAATCTACATCTCCAACCGACATTCCCCCTCGAAATTGGCGCTTCATTTAATTGTCCATGCTGTATTTCCGGCACAGAAATATGCCGTTGTCACTTTTTGAAAAGTTAGCATTCTCAAAATGGTCAGGGAATAATAACCATAGTTCTTAACAGGCAAAGGGTTGATTTAAGAAAACAACTTTTTAAATGTAGCACAATGCCTTCATCTGAGAATCTGGGAACTCGAGACTCTACAATATTGGCATGATCGATACTTCTTTTGCAACTTTGCACACCAAAAGAAAAAGGAAAGTTTCAAATTCTCATACATTAAAACTTTTTCAATAAAAACTTGTCACTTTGACATTTGTTGAACCTTTACTGCGGATGTGTAATTTGTATTGGGACAGAACGTCTTCACTAATTAATACGTAGCATTAAGCAAATCACTCATATCGTCAGTTAACACGTGTCGGTTTAATTCTCGATACTCATGTGTCCAGTCTCGGTCAACAGTATTAACAAATGTCAACATACTGTTTCATCGGGTCATAATAAAGCAAGAGAAAGTATAATTATAATTTAGTGTTGCTTCAGGATAATAACGCTGCATCATGATTCAAAATCACAAGAATTCTAGTGCAATGATTTGTGATGAATGAATGATAAGTTACCCGCTGTGCTGCACAAAATATCATATGGTATGGAAAATACGGTTAAATTTATTTGCTGCTGCCTCTTTCGTCATAATTGTACATGATGTATATCTACAAATGTCTAACAACATACCACCCCAAACACATGAACAATCTAGATGGCACGATCTTGTAAACGAACAGTCATTTTGGAAGAAAATAATGACGGTAAACGGCGAGGGTTCTTATATATAATTCCATCTTCCAACCTTCCATCAGGAGGAAATGGGGTTACCGTACAGACCATTACGGTGTATTAAATACATGACCATTCCTTATGCACACTTTTCAGATTTCAATCACGTCTTCTACGAATATATACGTGGAATTCCAGATAAGCTGATTTACTTACGAGACAAAGGGATCTGGCATGTTCAAAGAAGTAAAATGGATTTAGTTATTGATTGTACTGTGCTGTGATGAGGATTTTCTTTCTTATTGGGTTCCACTGTTAAGGACTTTTCACCTCTACATTCTAGTTCTTTAATTTTGAGGCTCCATACAGGCTTACAAGAAGAGACATTTGAATACACACTTGCTGGTATTTTAAAATAAAGCTGAAGAATACCCAGCTTGTGTGTTTAAGTATAAAGCGACACCATTTGGTATCGATTTATCTGCATGTACACCTCAAGGAAACATGAAGTTAAATTCATTGTGAAACAATATTATCACTACGAACAGTTTAACCTCTCTTTGGCATTTAAGAAGTGTATGACAAATGTGGGACACAAGGTTACAATCATTTTACGGTACTTTAACCTCCTGGAAAGAGCCTTCTGTGTCAGTTAAACATCAAAACAAATTGAAAAACAAGCAATTAATTATTCACATACATATTTAAACTTTATGACAAAGGCCAATTTCTTTCAAGTAGCTTAAGATTAGATGCCCGCTTACACGGTAAAAGAGATCCTTCAGATTTACTCTTTGATAATGTGAATCCCTTGCTGCTGTGATGTTGTGGTTAAATTCTGATTCCAAGTGGTGGAATCAGGTTTCACAAATGTCGAAATTGGTTTTCATACAGAGGGTTAAAACACAATTGAACGAGTAACGATAGCAAGCGACGTTGTCGT